AAAAGCAGTCCCTGTGACCAGGGAGCTGGCAATCAGGAAAGGCAGCACCATGCACAAGACAGACACCCCCCCACACACACCAACCCCCAAAACGGAACATGCCAGTGACCACAGCACACAGACAAGCGGGCTCAGGGTCAGGAGGGAGAGTGAGCAGAGAGCATGCAGGCATGCAGGGGTGCTGATGGGGCACCTTGGGTGCCTGTGCAGCCAGCCTGACTGGTACCTAGGTAAGAGCTGTGCCTTTGGGAGCTGCTCCCACTCAGGGCCAAAATCCCTATGGGCTTACGTGTGTCCTTCCAGGGCAGTCCCATCCATGAAGGATCTGTAAGAGGCAGGGCCACACCAAGAGCACTGGATGTGCTAACGAGGCCCCAGGAGCTCCATGGGACCATCACATCCCCAACTGAAATAAGGAAGGAAAAAGGGAAACCTTCATAAAGTGTGGCTGAAACTATTGGTGAAAACCTGGGCTATCTTGATGGACTGCTGACATAGATTCAAAGCACCAAGAGAGACTGCACCGAACCTGACCTTCAGACAGTCCTTGGCAAACTGCCCCAAATGGCTGTCTCCAGATCTCTACACAGGAGACAGGAGACAGGGAGGACAGGAGACAGGGAGGACAGGAGACAGGGAAAGGCAGCATGAAAACATCAGATAGAAAGGATGTCAGGATGTGGAGAGTGGTTGTGTCATCTCCCCTCTTGCTGCATCCGTTACTTCTCCCCCTAAAAGTCCCATTTCAACTACCTGGGTGCTGAGAGCATGACCACCAACCAGTGCTGAGAGGCCCACTGGAAAGGTGGCCAAGAGAACATGTGTGATGTCAAAACTCAATGGCAGGTGGCCCTTCTGTGCAAGGGTGGAGACAGCAATCTTTCAGGGCATGAACGAGTTTCCTCTCCCTCTATTCTGTTTCCCACCTGGGCAGAGGGTCCCAGTGATGAGCCCCGAGCTGAGGGCAGCAGCCGGTAAGCTGACGCTCCGAGCCGCTCCTACCCGGCCAGCAGTGCTGAACAGAAAACCCTGCAGCTCCTCAAAGGTTAACAATAGTTCTGGCTCTGTGGGTACTGCCAGTCCAGCTGAGACTGAATTGTCCAAGATGCTTTTTGTCCTTTCCAGAGGTCAATGGAATGATCAGAAGGTGAATGGCACCAGCACAGAAGGAAAAAGGGATAAAACTCCAAAGATGGTCAACTGGGTGATTTGATTTGCTTTAGTTAATGTCGTTTGGGCTTAAAATAGTTTATAAAAGTAATGAGAGATTAATTTTTAATTTTTTTTTTAATCCTCACCTGAGGACATTTTTGATATTTTGTTCAGATAGAGTGGGAGAGAGAAACATCGACGTGAAAGGGACACATCGAGTGGTTGCCACCCACACGACCCAACCAGGGCCAGGGACAAACTGCAACCGAGGTACATGCCCTTAGCGGGAACTGAACCTGGGTCTCTCCAGACCGCAGGCCAATGCTCTAACCGCTGAGCCAAACCGGCCAGGGCGAGAGATTAATTTTTAAAATGAAGTTTGGACTGACTCAACTAAGCTGTCTGTATTTGATTAAATAAGTGAAACTAAGCAATACTGAGATGGTATGAGGGAGAGAAATGTCATTATTATTCAACAGTCACTGACTGGGCAGCTAGTCAGAGGCACTGTGCTGGTGGGACAGAAGACAGTAAGGAATGGTCTCACCCATTGGTTGTTTAAAATTGAACAGATCTGGTGTAAGTCCTTTTTTTTTTTTAATATGTTTTTATTGATTTTAGTGAGAGAAGGGAGGGAGAAAGGAACATCAACATTGGGGGCCTTTGGCACACCTCCTAAAGAGGATCCAGTCTGAAACCCAGGTATGTGCTCTGACAGAGAATGGAACCAGCGACCTCTTGGGGCATGGGACAACACTCAACTACTGAGCCACACTGACTGGGCTAAAAGTCTTTTTTAAATTACTTTTTATTTTAAGTATAGTTGATATACAGTCTCATATTGGTTATATTAGTTTCATATGTCAAATATAGTGATTCAACATTTTTATACCTTAAATGTGATCACCCCACTAATTCTAGTAGTCATCTGTCACCATGTAATTTATCACAATATTATGTGATATATTCCCCTTCCCCCTTTCAGCCAGCCCCTCAACCCCACCCCTCTGGCAACCATCCCTTTGGTCTCTGTTTCTATAAGTCTGTGTTCTGTTTTGTTTGTTTATTTGTTTTGGAATCATATATTTGTCATTCTCCGTCAGACATATTTTATTTAGCATAATACTATATAAGTCCAGCCACACTGTTGCAAATGGCAAGGTTTCATTTTTTATGGATAAGTAATATTCCATTGTATATTTGTACCACATCTACTTTATCCACTCATCTATCCATGGGCACTTAGGTTGCTTCCATATGTTGGCTATTGTAAACAATGCTGAAATGAACATAGGGGTGCACATATCTTTTTGAATTAGCATTTTGGATTTCTTTGAATAAATACCCAAAAGTGAGGTTGCTGGATCATATGTTAGGACTATTTTCAATTTTTTTAAGAACCTCCATATTGTTTTCCATAGTGGTGGCACCAATTTGCGATCCCACCAACAGTGCACGAGGGTCGCCCTTTCTCTTCATCCTCACTAACACTTGTTTGTTGACTTGTTGATGATAGCCATTCAAACAGGTGTGAGGTGATGTCATTGTGGCTTTGATCTGCAGTTCCCTGATTATGAGTGACACTGAGCAAGTCTTGTCAAAGGACTTAGAAGGTATTTTCTGAACAATTTCATTTAGTAGTTGTTTTTCTAAACTGCCACAGAAGTAAAAACACTGGTTAGACATTGCAAACTTTCAAGCAAGAGCCTTTCGCTTCAATGAAGCAATCAAGTAACAATGTAGTAAGTGGTTTATAGTTTCTAAGGTTTTGTTTGTTTGTTTGTTGTTTTTTTATTAATCCTCACGAGAGGACATTTTTTTTTCATTAATTTTTAGAGAGAGTGGAAGGGAGAGAGGGAGCGGGGTGGAGGGAGAAACATTAATGTGAAATACATATTGATTGGTGGCCTCTACACGTGCCCTGAACGGGGCCAGGGTTCAAAACTGCAACCTAGCCCTGGCCGGTTTGGCTCAGCGGTTAGAGCGTCGGCCTGCGGTCTTGAGAGACCCGGGTTCAGTTCCCGCTAAGGGCGCGTACCTCGGCTGCAGTTTGTCCCCGGCCCTGGTCGGTTGTGCGGGTGGCAGCCACTCGATGTGTTCCTTTCACATCGATGTTTCTCTCTCTCTCTGTTCCTCTCTCTCCCTCCCACTCTACCTGAACAAAAAATGGAAAAATGTCCTCAGGTGAGGATTAAAAAAAAACAACAAAAAAAAAACTGCAACCTAGGTCTGTGCCCTTGAACCGGAATCAAACCCATGGCCCTTCAGTGCAGGGGTGATGCTCTAACCACTGAGCAACACCAGCCAGGGCTCAAGGGGGTTTTATAAACATGTAAATGTCACAGAAGCAAATATATGACATGCTTCATGGGATGTGGTCTTTAGGTACTTCAGTTAAGGTCCTCTTGGTGCTCATTCACCTGTATTTGAATGGTAACTAAATGTGACTGGTTTTATTCTATGTTCTCTATATAGGTCTAAGTATCCTTATTTCATAATCATTCTTCACACTTTCCATTATACTTCAGTACAAGGATTCTAGACATCCTGAACACACAGTCCTGTAAATGGTGGTCCAAGACGTCCCATCATATAAAATCTAGCCAGCATCTGTGACTCACTCTTCCTTCACCTCCCTGAGCCAGCCTGGGACCTGCTGACCATTGTGGCTCAGAAAGGACTTCCCTGCTCTCAGTTCTGGGGGTCCCAGCCTCACCTGGGGTCAATCACTCATGGAATGCTGTCCCAGGCTCGGTGAAGCGGCTGCTCGCTCTGTGAGCACCTTCAGACTGCCCTCCAAAGGCAGCATCTCTACCACATCACCGTGCAGCCCTGTACCCGAGCCAGTCCCAATTCCTCAGAGTAACTGTTTCTCCACAACCAACTTTTCCCAAGCCTTCTCACTTTCCCCTCTGGCTCCCCAAGTGTATATGCTCTTCTAGTCCCCTCACAATTCTGCACACCCCATGCTAGTTCCTAGCCTAGAGTCTCTTATACTCTTCTCTCTCATCAGCCCAACCAGATCTTTCTGGTCTGCCCAGGCTCTTGGTGTAGCCTCTCCCGAGCCTTAACCTCCAATGGCCTGGTAGTGCTACGGGCATGGCTGTCATCCTATACTTTCATATTTCTGATGACTTGAGCTAAGCTAGCTTTTCTGTCCTAATAGATCATCAGGGTTCTACAAGATCATGCTGAGCTCACAGTTGAGACTCAAAAGTCTACCAAGTGATCCATGACTCCCCTCTCTGATTCCTCACATTAATCTCAAGAAGATGCACTGAGTGCTGGCATGCCAGCTGTAAACTCATTGTCCAGTATGCCTATAATGCATTCCTAGTGAGTAACTCTGCCAGGCAATTACAACAGGCAGGTGGATGGGACCAACAAGAAGGAACTGAAATCTCAGGAGTGAGACACAGAATCTGCATCTAGCAAAACTCATCCTACACAGCACGAGTGACAGACCTATAAAATCCTACTCACTGTACACATGATTTTGACGTAGACTTTTCTTCAGCAGGGTAATTATTAGTTTAGTATTCTCTCTCCTTGGCTGGACAGTGAGTTACTTGAGGGCAAAAGCCTGTAAGAATTGCTCATTCTGTCCCATTATGTATTAGGTACACAGATACAATCCAAAAACTTTTTGGACAAAATTCTTTTTTAAATGCTGTTCTTGCACAACTCTCTAAATATACTAAAAACCATTAAATTGTACAAATTGAATTGTTTGGATGTAAATTATATCTCAACAAAGCAGTTTAAAAAATACCAGTGGATTGAACAAAACGCATTACTCCCCAAAACCAGAACAAGGTGCACTCAGTACCCAGGCTGGACATACTCACGGGATGAGCCACAATGCACTGCTTCACGTGCACCAGCCCGGCAAACAGCTTGGAAGGCAGGAGGCACGAGGTGGAGCTGCTGAGGACAACATCGTCACCGACGATTCCATCTAACTGAGCAAAGATCTTCTTCTTCAGTTCCAGGTCTTCCGGCACACATTCCTGAGGAGGACACATATGCAAACCACTACTCATGGCCACTGCACTCCAGCCCTGAGCAAAAGAATTCAAGTCCTATTCATTCTAAAACTGAATGAATTAGAAAATCGCAAGCAACATTTAAGAAAAAAAAAAAAGCTACCCCCAGATATGATAAATCTTGGTAACTCTGGAAACGAGGTGATGCCTATAGGGGAGCTATATTCTCCAGTCTTGTGACCCAGCAATTCTACATCTAGCTATCTCTCCAAAGAAATACAAAACATGAATTCGAAAAGATATATGCACACCTGTGTTTGTTGAAGCAGTATTTATGATAGCAAAGACATGGAAGCAACCTAGGTGTCCATCAATAAACGATAAAGAAAACGTAGTACATAAATACTACAGAATATTATGTAACATTAAAAAAAAATGAAATCTTGCCATTTGTGACAACACGGATGGACATAGAGGGTGTTAAGCTAAGTGAAAGCAATCAGACAGAGAAAGACAAATACCACATGATTTCACTTGTATGTGAAATGTAATAACCAAAATCAATAAATAAGCAAAAACGAAACAGACTCGTAGACACAGAGAACAAACTGATGGTCGCCAGATGTGAGGGGTTAGGGGGTTGGGTGACAAAGGTGAGGGGATTAAGAAGTACAAATTGGTTGTAACAGAATAGTCACAGGGAGGTAAAGTACAGCACTGAGAATACAATGAGCAACATTGTATAACTACGAATGATGCCAGTGGGTACTAGACTACTGAAGAGAATCACTCTTGTAAGTCATATAAATGTCTAATCACTATATTGTACACCTGAAACTAATATATTATTGTATGTCAACTGTAATTGAAAAATAAACAAATAAACATTCTCATAATAAAAGCGTCCTCCAACTACTTGGGGAGGGAGAACATACGAACAGAACACACACAGCACCTCGGCGGTGTCGGCACCACCTTCCCCTATCTGTCATCTTCATGAAATGAGCAAATGTGTCACATCCATAATCCATTTCCCAAAGGCTTCTTGAGCACCCATGGCTCACTGGAAATCCTTTGGAAAAATAACTTTGTTTCTAAAAAGCTAAAATTATTTGCCCCCCTCCACACAGGGACTAACCAAGTGTGCTCTGATGAGTGTATTAGCACTGTGGTAGTAGAAACAGCATAAAATCCAGAAGTGTGCAGAAGAGGAAGTGCAGTGCTGAAGTACTACTAGACAGTATATCAAAACCTTCCTCAAAAATAAAGAAAATGCTTTCAGGCCTGATTTAATAATATCTAATAGTTAATAATAATATCTAATGTTTTGAAATCAGCTGTGTAAATATTATGGCATGAATTCCATTTCTATATCATCTACAAGATTTTAAAATTTAACACGAAGGGCAGGACATCAATATTGTGTTTGTGTATACTTTTAAAAAATATAATCAAACCATGTGAAATTTTATTAGGAACAAAAGGTCACGCCAGCTCCACATCTGAAAAACGGGGAAAATGGAGTCATTTAAGAACTGTAAAGCCCATTGTGTTAAATCCCCTTATCAAACGGGAAAAAAGGCTACAGTAGCTGGCTGGTTGTATTGAGTAATTCCTGGATCAGTTATGTCTGCAAGTTGGGTTAAGTTTAAATGGAGCCTTGTAGTAAAGCCAGAGACTAAGAATGATGCAGATACTGTGTAAGCTAATAAAAGGGTCCTTGTGAATGGCCCTATTGTAAGCCTGTCAGGCAGCTTCTCCCTTGAAACTCTATGCCTTTCTTCAGATCATTTGATTATCAAAGAGGCAAGAAAACTTGAACCAGAGGAAACCCAAACCTGCTGCAGTGAGTTATGTAAGGTGGTTTTACCCACACATTGGCTTGAAGTTTTGTTGTTGTTGTTGTTGTTGTTGTTGTTGTTGTTGTTTTAATAGTAACCCAATTGTGCTCAATTTGCTGAGCCAGGGTTATGATGCCTCCCTCGTCCATGTCAAGCCTGGCGTTCAATTCCACTCTTCATTGGGGAGCTGACCACCCCCCTTGTCTGAGAAAGCGAGTCTGACACACTGTTAATCAGGACCTTCATCACTTGCGGTGGATTACAAAGCTGAGAGGCTGCAGGCATTCTCTCTGTCCTAAGGGGGTTGAGAGGAAAGGCAGGGACAATATCGAACAATGAGGCAGCTGACAGCCTAGCAGCCCTGCTCTCTCTAAACCACAGCAACGTGACCAGGTAAGAACACCCCACCCAGCCCCCGTGCATTCTCTACTCTACCGTGTCTTTCAGGGTCCTTTCTAGAGAAAGACACCAAATGTGAAGTGTTAGCAAAAGTTCTATCACAATGGAAGCCAGAGTCTGCTTAATTAAACTTTGACAGCACTTTCAAAACAACGACTATTATTTCTTTGTGTTTTGTTTGTTTTGAGTTGGAAGGGAGATGATATTCTCATGCAAAAGCACTCCAGTGACATGCTCCAATTTTGACAAACAAAACAACTTTGGGGATGAGGAAACACAGTGTAACAAGTATCACAACTATTGCTGGTACATCGAAAGAAGGTCACTCAAGTCAGTCAGCATGAGATGGTTAAAAGATGGGGTTGAGATTAAATACTCCTTTTCCCCTTTCCTTCTTGATAAGAAGAAACTGAATGATGGTATTATAGGCATAACATTAATTATCTCTACCTTACTCGAAATTTTAAAAGCAAAGCACTTCTAAATGTCCCTGTTTGATTAATAGTGAAGCTCACCTGTGACAGCTCGCAGCTCCTTGGGGCTGTGTGAGGGGAGCAGAAGGGCCACAGCAAGCCAGTGCTGGGTCACCCCCAGAAAGGAAATGCTGGATAAGAACTCACGTCTGAGCTTTGCTCACTTGCTGTGCAACAATATGCATTTTCCAAAACAAATATTTTCATGGGGAAAGGAAATTTCATTGATTATTTTTTTAAGTCCCCTCGGGAATTTTAGACAGGCATCCTGTTGCTAGAAAATCTACATTCACTAATGCAAACTATCTGGATGCGATCTTCATTGTGCTTTCCAGAAAGAAAGAAAAATTAAATTAGAAGACCTTAGTACCAAAGGTATTTTACATGCAAAGAAGTTCTAGGAGCCAATTTTAAGGAGAAAGACAGGACAAGGAAAGAAAGACGAGCTCAAATCCTGTTGTAGTTACGGCAGAGGGTAATTCTTTCTCAAGTTGAAGATGAAAATGTTCCACATGATAAAGTCTGTCTGTTAGCACTAATTAAAACTCTGGCTTTAATCTGTCTCATCATCACCACCAGTCTCTCGTCACTATTTCTTCCAAGCACAATCTTAAAAATCTATCAGATTAATAAATTGTTACGACTAATCTTAAAAATCTATCAGAATGCCCTGGCTAGTGTTGCTCAGTGGTTAGAGTGTCAGCCCAAGCACCAAAAGGGTGTGAGTTCAATTTTCAGTCAAAGGCACGTAGTCCGGCTGGTGTGGCTCAGTGGTTGAGCATTGACCCATGCACCAAGAGGTCGCCAGTTCCATTCCTGGTCAGGACACATGCCCAGGTTGTGGGCCCAATCCCCAGTGGGAAGCGTGCAGGAGGCCGCCAATTGATGTTCTCTCTCATCAGTTTTTCTATCTCTCTCTCCCTCCCACTTCTCTCTCTGAATTCAATAAAAGAAAAAAAAATTACAAAGGCACATACTTGGGTTGCAGGTTTGATCTCCAGCCCCGGTTAGGGTGCATGTGGGAGGCAACCAATCAATGTGTCTCTCTCACATCAATGTTTCTCTCTCTCTCTCTCTCTCTCCCCACTTCCCTTCCACTCACTCTGAAGATCAATGGGGAAAAAATATCCTCAAGTGAGGATTAATAATAACAAAAAATATATATATCAGATTAATAGATGGTTATGATTATACTTCTCAAGAGGTGAACATTATAAAAAAGGCAAAGCTTGCTCTCGAAGAAATAGTATGGGTTAAGGAAAAAGAAAGAAAAATAAGTATAAGGTTTCAATATCACTGGCAATAAATTGTTCTATGCCTTAAACCAAAGGCTCATTTTTTCCTTAAATATCAAAATAAAATAAAAAAAAAACACACACATGTTATAATCCTAAACAAAGTTCTACAACAAAATAGAACATCCCCAGTCAAGAGAGAACTTGCCGAAGTAGAAGTCAGTATAGACCGAATTAGGGACACTACTTCCTGGGGCTTGGGTGTCAAGGTGAGCGGACTGTTGTGGTGTGTGTGCAGTGGCGGTCCTTTCTCAGGGTGACCACACGCGCCAACTGCTGTCCTAATGAGGTTTCTATTCCATCCTCATTCCAATGACTTTTATTTGTACCTTTCATGAAATCTCTTATTTAGAACCGGATTACAATGCTTGATGTGAAAAAAACTATACAATTAAAAATATTGCAGTTAAGCCTCCAAATAGCATATGGTTTTACGGGCACATCCAAATAATATTTCTCATGAGAAAAAGTGACAGTTTTAAATATAAAGGTTTTTATTTAACAAAGTGCTGGGAATAGGATGAAACACAAAATTTAAGTAAGTCATAGGGGATACATTTTTGAGAAGAAAAATGTAAAATAAGTTAGTTGATGTGAAAGACATCACATTACATCAATCTCTAAGAGTGCTAATTATAGATGAGGAATATCTTTTTTTTGTTTTGGTTAATTCTCACCTGAGGATATTTTTCCCTTGATTTTTAGAGAAAGTGGAAGAGATGGAGAGAGGGCAGGAGAAAGAGAGAGCGAACGAGAAACATTGCTGTGACGAGACATAGCGATTGATTGCCTCCTGCACAACCTGCAACCCAGGTGTGTACCCTTGACTGGGAATCGAACCCATGACCCTTTAGTCCATGGGCCAATGCTCTAACCACTGAGCAACACAAGCCACAGCAGGTGAGGAATATCTTTAAATTCCAATCGACAGATGAGACACTGAGAGAACTTTGTAAGTTATTTTCTGTGTAATTTCTTGGCTCTATATTGGACACGTGTGACACATTTCCATCCAT